GACTGCCGCCTTCCTCACCATTGGGCCGCCAATATCATTGCCGCCCCTAGGCCAAACCGCTACCGAGGACCACTACTTGCTGTCTGCCGCTAACATCATCGCCATCCAGGGCCGCTGTCACCGCCGTTACTCATCAGAGGCCCGTTGTTATAACTAGGGCCGCCAATACTGCTCTCACTACGGGAGGTCGCTACCGCCCTCACCACTATTTGGGCCACCGTCAACATCACCGCAGGGCCGTCACTACTAAAGGGACTGCTACTGCCGTCAGGATCAGCATCGTCGCTCTCATTGGCTGCAGTAGCCGTGCTGTGGGCATTTACCATCATCACGCTCGCTACCGCTCTCACTGTCATTAATCACCGAACCATCACCGCTCTCACCGTCACCGCTCTCAACATCACCGCCACCGTCACTAGCCACTAGACAGTCTCCGCTCTCTGAGCCACGACGCCGACCGCCGACCAGTTAGTCGCTCTCTCTCTCTCTCCCCTCTCTTCGTGGACGTCAGGGTACCGGCAGCCTGGCCGAACGGCCGCGTGTGTGTGTGGTTGTGTTCGCTATATTTAACTACTGTGTTTATTTTATTCAGTGGGGGTTAGTGGGACCTTCACTCAACCCTGGAGCGGCTGAGTTACCTCAGCCTTCGATAAAACCCACCTCATAAATGGCGCCCGAGCAGGGACCCAGCTCTGCAGGCGCATGTGCAGAAGCACCAACAAGCACCAACCCTGTCGAAGCGGGTTCATCGAACACACCACAACCAACCAATAACACACGGACGAGCGAAAACGACACCGCAACGCTGAACGCCGACTCTCTGGGCTGGATATACCTACTGAAAAAAGAGAGATTAGTGGAGGAATGCAGACAACACCAGTTACCAGTTGAAGGGAACACAGTCGCAGAGCTACGGAGTGCTCTAAGCCACTTCATCAAAACCAAGCGAAGTAGAAGATCAACCGAAAATCTCCTAAAAGAACTAGAAATGGAGATCACCGCTGAAGAAGCCAGTATAGCGAAGTCCTTACCCGAAGTCACCCCAGCCATAAAACTGGGCGAATCATTCCTACACTCCGAAGGAGCAAAACTAGCAGCTCCTCAGCGAGACAGATTTAGTAACGCCGAAGTAATGAGTACTGTCCGTCGTTGGGACGTACACTATTCCGGCGGCGATGCCCTGCACGACTTCTTGGATCGGATTGAGGAACTGGCAGAATGCTACCAAATCCTGCCAGACCAACTCCTCCCAACCCTGCCCGAGATTTTACGCGGTAAAGCACTCCAATGGTTCCGCGTTCAGAGGCAACAAATAACCACCTGGGCTAGATTTCGTGCCGGGGCGGAAAAATTTTTTCTGCCCAAACGACACATAACGCAGCTAGAAGACACAATTCGCCAGCGGAAACAGATGCACAGGGAAAAGGCCAAGGACTACATCCTCGCCCTCCAGACACTCATCCGACAACATCCGGTCATGTGCCACGAAAACCACCTAGAACGTATTTATGACGGTCTGCGAGTCGAATACCGACTCTTCGTAAAAAGAAGCGAGCTCCAAACCATCGATGAGCTCATGGAGCTCACCGATGAGTATGAACTGCTCAAAAACGAAGAAGCCAGACAAAGTAGACAAGCGGCACACAGCCTTTCCACCATAAGTAACCGGTACGACGCAAGGAACACCTGCTGGCGCTGCAAAAGGCGTGGGCACCAGCGTTACCATTGTCACTACCCACGGCGACTGTTCTGTTCCCGTTGCGGTCAAGATGGAACTCTCTCCAGAAACTGCCCATGCCCCAAATCAACCAATACCGCGCCACCCATCGCCCAAGCCACTGCAATCCGAATGGAGAAGTATCGACGGTCGCTTCTACGCCGACGTCACCATCGAAGGCCTACACGTACGAGCACTGGTGGACACCGGAGCCACTCTAACATACGTAGACGACAGCACGCGCGTGCATTTAGAGCGACTCAACATCCAACCTCAGCCTAATAAGCGGAACGTCCAACTCGCGGATCAGACATGCGTTGCCAGTACACACACCTACCCCGTCAGAATCAAGTATAACGAGCGATCCACACGCACGGCGGTAGCAGTGATCCCGAACCTAGCAGAACGAATGATATTAGGAATGGACTTCCTGTCAAAGCGAGGCATTGTTGTGACCTTAGACGGCCAGCCACTAAATCCCGACACGTCACCGAGGCCCACACCCACATTGTGTTGCCTAACAGAACGGGCTCACTTAAATGAGGAACAAAATCAGGAATTAACACACTTCTTGGACCACAACAAAACGCTGTTCTCCAAAATCACCGGACCAAGTACAGCCGCCGAACACATCATTACACTGCGACACAACCAACCGCTGAAGCAGCGCTACTACCCGCGCAATCCCGCCATGCAGCAGGTAATAAATACCGAAGTGGACGAATTACTCACCGCTAACCGGATAGAACCCTCCAGGAGCGCATACAGCTCACCAATTGTATTAGTCAGAAAGAAACAAGGAACCTGGCGGATGTGCATTGATTATCGTCAACTCAATGCCGCTAGTGAACCCGACGCGTACCCACTGCCTCAAATCGGAGCCATTTTGGACCAGCTAAAAGAAGCAAAGTACATCTCAACCATCGACTTAAAGAACGGCTACTGGCAGATACCGTTAGCCAAGAAGTCTCGGCCATATACCGCCTTCACCGTTCCCGGCCGAGGACTTTTTCAATGGAAGGTAATGCCCTTCGGACTACACTCCGCCCCAGCCACCTTCCAACGCGCCCTCGACTCTATACTCGGCCCGGAATTGCAACCAAAAGTGTTCGCCTACTTAGACGATATCATCGTGCTAGGCGAAACGTTCACCGAACATATGACCTACTTACGCGAAGTCTTTCATAGACTTCAGAACCACAAAATGCAAATCAACTTCGAGAAATGCAGTTTTGTACAACAAAAACTACATTACTTGGGACACATCGTCAGCTCTGAAGGGATACACACCGACCCTGGAAAAGTAGCCGCGGTACGGGAAATGACTGCGCCCCGAACCATCAAGGAGCTTCGCCGCTTCCTTGGACTTGCCTCCTGGTACCGCCGCTTCATCGCTAACTTCTCGCGGCACCCCTCAACCAGTTACTCAAAAAGAACCAAACTTGGACATGGGGCGAATTACAGAACAACGCATTCGAGGCGCTCAAGGAAAAACTGACTTCCGCACCAATACTCTGCTGCCCAGACTTCAACCAACCATTTTTTCTACAAACCGACGCTAGCGGAGAAGGACTCGGCGTGGTCTTATTTCAGCGCCATTCGGATCAAGAGAAAGTCGTGGCCTATGCCAGTAGAAGTCTGTCAAACTTAGAAAAGCGTTACTCAGCTACGGAACAAGAATGTCTGGCTGTCCTGTGGGGAATTCGAAAAATGAGACCATACTTAGAAGGCTTCCAGTTCACTGTTATCACCGACCACCACCCCTCCGGGCGTCTGGCCAGATGGGCACTTGAGCTACAACAATACAACTTCGAGATCGAATACCGAAAGGGATCTTTAAACGTGGTGGCTGATGCACTATCACGATGCCCGCTGCCAGCCCCCAGCACAGAAGAAGACCTACTGTTCGCTTTGAATAGCCATCGTACGAGTTGGTACGACAGGAAGACACACCAAGTTCAGACGCAACCCGAACAAAACCCCGACTACCAGTGGATCAACAGCCGACTATTCCGACATATAGCACCAACAAATCCACTCTCCCGTGCCCCGCAATGGAAGCTCTGCATCCCCGCTAACCAAAGGAAAAAGATCCTTAAAGAAGTCCACGACGCCGCCGCGGCAGGACACCTCGGGATCAGGAAAACCCTCAAACGTGCACAAGAAAATTACTACTGGCCGGGGATGTATCGAGATGTAAGCAACCATGTGCGTGGGTGCCTGACGTGCGCAGCATACAAGGTGGAGCAACGACGCCCGGCAGGATTGATGGCTACGATGCAGTGCTCACGACCCTGGGAAATCGTCACCGCCGATTTCATCGGACCCCTCCCGCGCTCCAAACAGGGCAACACATGCCTCCTAGTCTTGGTGGATAAATTTTCCAAGTGGATCGAGTTGGTACCCGTCCGAAATGCCACCGCCTCAGCCGTAATCAAAGCTCTACGAGAAAGGGTGATTTACCGATATGGATGTCCGACCATTTTTCTTAGCGACAACGGAAAACAGTTTACCTCGACCACCTTGGCTACATTTCTCCAGAACCACCATATCGAACATCGATTCACGGCAGCATACGCCCCTCATGAAAATCCCACCGAAAGGGTCAACCGCGTCGTCAAGACAATGATCGGACAAAGATCACAACAAGACCACCGAACTTGGGACCAGGAAATACCGGAAATAGCCTTCGCCATAAACACAGCGCAGCACGAATCCACGCAAGCTTCGGCCGCCGAAATAAACTTCGGCCGCAGCCTCGCGGCACCGCAGCAGATACGGGCAGAAGGACCAACCCCCATAGAACCTCCCACCGCACGCCCTGACATTACAGAACTGTGGAAAGAAGTCGCTAAACACCTCGCCACGGCCGCCAAACAGCAAAAGAAATACTACGACTTACGTAGGCGCCCCTGGAAACCGAACATTGGAGACAAAGTAATGAAGAGGGATCACCCCCTCTCTTCAGCAATCGGGCACTTCGCACAAAAACTCGCACCCAAGTTTTCCGGACCCTACATCATCCTCTGCTACGTTTCCACGAATTCGGTCAAACTCGTCCATGCCGAACGACCCAACGGACCACAGACGCACGCCCACCTCCAAGATTTGAAACCATTTTCCGAACACTAACCGGCTATTCACAGACTGAGAAGGAAGCTAATTACGCAATACAACCCGCCAAGACTGTCAAAAACACCTCGTGGAATTGAAAGATTTTGTTTTTTATCACATATATATACGCATGAAATATAAAACTTTTTTTATGCCTTTTTCTACCTTTAAGTGAAATGTACTTTCATACCTGAAATAAGAATACTTTGTATAGCAATAAGTAACAAAAAAAAAAAAAAAAAAAAAAAAAAAAAAAAAAAAAAA